CAGTAGGATGGGGGAGAGAACTGGATGAAAAATACAAGAACTTGTGGGTTAAGATAAGAACAGTTTAATAATTGAAAGTAAGTGAAATAAAATAATTACACTACTACTACTACTACAACATAATGAAAATACTACTACTAATGATAATAATATGAAATAAAACAAAAAAGGAAAAAAAGAAGGAAAGCAAAATGACGCTACTGCGCACCACTGACTGACAGTCAGTCAATTCCTGAGCACTGATTTTTCGCTCCCAGCCAACTCTCCCAACTTATATACTGAGCATGATGTTTAATGGCTCAAACCTCCTTTTGGTCAGTCTGGATCAGGTGTCTGGGCTGTGTCCCCTCCCAGAAAGCTGGGAACACAGGTGCAGTATCAGAACTGAAGGAATCCTTGACTTGGTATAAACATTCCTCAGCCACAACTGAAAACGTTAGTGTTGTTAATACCCTTCTCAGCACAAATCCAAAGCACAGCCTCATACTAGTTACTACGAAGAAGAGTAACTGTCCCAACTAAAACCAGCACACACGTTTTCTGATTTTTAACTATTCTGGCAATTAGTGTTTGTTTGTTTGTTTGTTTTGCTTTTAAGTAGAGATAAAGCACTTGCCTCGTGGCACTGTGTTTTTCTGGTTTGCTAGTAGAGATTGGATATGCATAAAGTATTCTGATACTTGATTTGCTTTACTGTTAGTTAGCAAGGCAAATATTTTAATTCATGGCACCCTTACAGCTGCTTACCAGAAGTGAGCGACTTGTATCTCAGTGTTAGAAACCCCACAAAGCCCTGCTGGAAAGCAGAGGTACAGAGTGTTTGTTTGATCATTTTGGAGTTCTGTTACATGACAGAAGGGTTTTTATACTCTCTTGTACCCAGATGCTGGCAGAGATGTAACAAAATTCTATGAAGTAGTTTGCATTAGGTCCAATTTGAGTGACTCATTTATCTGGTTTGTTCTTTTCTGTGTTCATTAAATATCCCAGACCCCCTATTTTAGCTTGATATCTTTTGTGAATCTGAAATATTCCGATAATTGGTTTTTTGTCAACCACCACCTGTGCTGCCTTTCAAATGCTCTTTCTTTTGACGTGCTCTCTTCCTTCTGTGACCTGATCTGATCAGCAGGCAAGTTCCATCTGTCTTTTCTCTGTTATCCACGTATAAGTCACCAAGCTGATCTCTCAGGAGTTCTCTCAAGTATCTCTCTTGCTTGAGAATTTCTCTAGGAACCTCTCATTCAATCCTCACTTACCTGCCCTGTACTTTTTATTCCCACCCATCTGCACTCCTCCCAGGTGTCTGTTAGACATAAGAGATAAGATACTCTTCTCTATCTGTTAGTCTTGGGTGCTATCTGCATTTTTCTAATGCAGTTGGCTATGGTGTTTTCATCTTTGAACCAGAGCCCTCCCTTAAATATGAGAATAAAACACACAGAAAACATTGCGTCTCATTCCTAACTTCATTCCCTTTTTTGACCTGGTGTATCTTGTCCTATGGTATCATTACAATATGACCCACTCTTCATTCTTGCAAGTACGTGAGAAAAGTAATAAATGTATTTCAGCAGTTCAGAACAGTATTTATGCAGTGGAAGACCACATACTTGTATGTATGAGGAGTTGTCTTGATGAGCAAAAATCTAACTTCAATAGATTTGCATTTCACGCCTTTTTTTTTTTTTCTGGTAATTTAATTTGAAAACTGGTGACCAATATTATGTAAACTAGTTGTCTCTTATATTGAAGTTTCTAACCTGAATTTTGGTTCTCTTTCTTGAAGAGGCTGCAACAAAACATACACAGGACTTCAGACAACTGAAAACTGAAAAGAAAAGGCTTGAAAAGGAGCTAAAGAAGGCACAAGTAAGACTTTCCTGATCTTTTGGATGAAGCTTCTTTTAGTATTTCAGGGAGGGTAAGGAAGCTACTAGTAATAGAGATACTAAAATAGTAAAATTACGTTTGTTGGGGATATTGAGTGGCTAGACATAGCAGTTCACCTTAAGAGAGAGAAATTTTCCAACTGAAGCATGACCTTTGAAATGTTGATTTAGATTTCATCTTAGTTAAGAGTAGATGCTCTATAAACTACATATGGCATGAAAAAGTAATATTATTTTATTTTAACAGGGAAAACTCGATGGTGTACCTAAAGAGAAGTGCAGGAAAGGTACGTGTTCACCTTTGATTGCCTTCAGATTGATGTGTAGTATTGTTCCATTTGAACACTTCCTTTTCCCTTTTTCCTCTTTTTAATAGTTAAGCATGCGGAGACCCAGAGTTCAAGTGAATATCTTGCAACAGATATAGACAAAGGTAAGATTTTTTTGCAAGATTATTCTCCATGTGGAGCCAACCATTATGAATTTATTGCAACTCCTCTGGAGTTTCATTTTTGGAAACAGAGGATACTGACAGAAATGCTGTAAGAGCAGATGTGGTGGATACAAATGTGTTACACTAATGAAGGACTAACAGATGACTACAGTTTTGTGTGGGGAAAATACTTGATTCATTAAAATGACTAGTCTAACCCAATCACATGTGGAGTCAAGTGATGTGCAATTATAAAACAGAATGTAAACACTGAGAAAAGTACAAACAATCCCGTTGTCTTTGAAGATCATTGAAATCCTAAGGTAAGCATGCAGAGCCAAAGACACAAGGTAGGAGTGTAACCTGTTACAATTTGTATGTCAGGCTCTGTAAATCAGGTGGAAATTCAGGATGTATAGTTTTTTTTTATCTGATTGACTTTTTTTCCCCCTAATGATCTAAAAGATCTGCTGCAAATTACCTGAATCTAATTGTGTAGTAGAGCAAACTCCTTCAAAACTTCCTCCAAAGCACTGAGGCCAAACTTACAGCAAATTGTTTTTTTACATTTTTGTGGTCTTTTAAAATACTGGTATTGCTTTTGAATTGTTTAGAAACTCTGAAGGCAATTTTCAAGCAAAAGAAGAACTTCCCTGTTCTATTTTTTGCTTTGCAATATATGTATACGAAGTTTGTTGCCAAAATTAAACTTCTCTGAAAAAGGTAGACCTTGTCAGTTCTTGTGTGTCTTGGCATACTTTACTGCCTTTTGGACTCTACTAAATTGATAGCCAGTTTCATCCTTTCATTTTTAATTAATGACAAAATGGGAAAATTAAGATCTGTGCTCTAATTTGAGCTTCGAATAGTAACAAGGCTTTATTACTAATGAGGTGTTCAAGGAACGTGTAGACGTGGTGCTTGAGGACATGGTCTAGTGGGTACGGTGGTGTTGGGTTGGTGGTTGGACTGGGTGGTCTTATAGGTCTTTTCCAACCTTTGTGATTCTGTGAATTTGTTAGTGGTGTTAATAGCTGCCATGCAAAATTTGACAGGTTTTCCTCCTATGTGCTGAGTTTTTTTTAATATGTCTGTCCATAAAACAGTAGCAGTTTTCTGTGGTCTTTGATGTAGGAATTGGCACAAACCCAATAGTCTCAGTTCCTGATTGTTGGATCTGATGCTAGTTTGGGCATAACTAGGTGAGGTGCTTGGTTTTGGTCTGTTTCTCCCTCTCCACCTGCCCTTCTGATTCTGGAAGGAGGTTGTTTGGCATCACCTAGCAATCATGCTGTTAAGACTCCAGGCAATGCCTACTAGTGTTGTTGCCTGATAATGATCCAGAGACATTTAACGTGCTATTACTCCATGGTAAGACTAAGATGAGTTACTAATGAGTAGGCATAAAGAAAGAATGTGGTATAAATGCTTTCTTCCTAAAAGATTTCCCCCATTTATGTTCATGTCACCTGGGTTGTTTTAGAAAGCCATTTAATTTCACTATTTCAAATCTGCTTTTCCATTTTACTCTGGAGCCTGCTACAACATTTTGCCCCCATCGCTACAGAAGGGAAGAGCTGAAGCATCCTGCAGCTGTTCCTTCAGCCTGCTGTGTGGCTAGAGCCAATACAGGGGTCCATTCCCTCAATGGCATCTAGCATTTCTCTTTCTTGGAAGCTAAAATGCCCCTATGTCCCTTGTCTTAATTTTCGTTGTGGGTATTTTGTTGTAGGCATGTCTGTTCTGAGTAAAAATAAAAAAATATAAATTCTTAGCTCTCTGCACAATTGAGGTTTTGCTCAATTTCTAAAAAAATTTATTTTAACAGAGAAAATAAAGCTCTTGTTAGAAGAACTCTGGATGTGCATTGACAGTGCAACAGGAAAAAGAAAGAATCAGGAAAATGATCCTGTCTTGGGTGAGATGGCATGCAAAGTCTTGCAATTTTCTTGAATCTGTTTCTTTTTATGACCAAAAAATTAATACTGGTACGTTTTTTCAGCTTCTGTTCAGGGTAAAGCATGGCCTGAAAAAAGAAGACTGACTGTTACAGAAGGTAGGTTCCAGTACATGTGAATTTGTTGCTGTGACAGTGCTTTAATTTAGTCTTACTGGGATATCATCAGTTTGGGTACTGTTTGCATAACACTTTTTTGGCAGACTTAACCACTTTTCTTGGTAATTGTGTGGTGAAGTACATGTGTAATTAGAATATTTGAAAATAATTGCAGAGATTAACTTGAACAGCCAAGGAAACTGGAATGCTCTTCTGAGTAAAAGCTGTTGTAACCTGCTGTTGCAATTGAGAAATCAAGTTCTTTTACAATCAGCTGCTTTGACTGTTCTAATTAGTCAAAATTCACCTCTCATGTTTATACCTTAATTATTATATCGTTGTAAACTCTGCAGTACATAATGTGAATTATGGGATGCAAGCGCTCTTTTTAGTCAGAAAGAAACGTGGTAACATAGTTGGATTGTAAAAATGAAGAAGGTGTAACCACCATTTTCTTCATTCAAACCTTCCTGAATAAAAATAGATAAGGGTGCATTAATTTTCATATTTGTGATGCAGAGAAACACAACGTGTAATTTGGCAATAGCTTCAATTTTGTAATGCAATATTCATTACAATAATAAAAAGTAACCTGAGTTGTTATCCACGGGCACATTCACAGCAAACTTGAGTGGCTTTAACTTTACATAACAGATGCCATTTTCCTTCTGCCCTCAGATGTAATAGGTGCCTTGAAAAACTGCATTAATGTGTCTGTAGTTGTCTCTCCAGAGCGGGCTTATTAACCTTTCTTTTTTCTTTTGTTTTCTCTACTACTTTGTTATTCTGTAACTCAGGCTGTAGAGATACTGCCTGGGATAAGAACCCTGCCTTAGTAAGAGCTTTCAAGCTGAACTGTTACCCTATCTGCCCGCCCTGTTAAGTCTGAAAATTTGCTACCAGGGTAGATCCCAAAGAATCCAGTTTCAGATTGTGTTCCAGTGGAATCCACTGAAGAGGTGTCAGAATATAAGGACCGCTCATAAACCAGTTTATCGGTCTCACTCCACCATTTGAATGCAGCATCTCAGATGGATTTTGGAAATAGGGTGGAGTTAGCATACTGGCTTTTTGGGATTGTTGATTATTTCTACTGTTTTATTGGAGGTCATCTTTTCTTTTTATAAAATCGTAGAATTTACATTTCAGAAAACTGGGCCATCTTTTCACTGTTAGAAGTATCTAGCACAATTATAATCAATATTTAAATTCTTTGTCTCTACTGTTCAGATTTTCTTGGGGCAATGTTTTATCTGCATGCATAAGAAATGAGTTACTGTGTCATAGAATCATAGAATCACTAGGTTGGAAAAGACCTTAGAGATCATCCAGTCCAACCGTATCTGTCCGCCACTAAACCATATCTTTCAGCACCTCATCCACCCGTCTCTTAAACACATCCAGGGACGGTGACTCCACCACCTCCCTGGGCAGCCTGTTTTTTAATAATAAAAGTGTGATTTGAAAAGGAGCAAAACAAAAGTACAATGCAAAGAATCACACAGGGCATTTGCACAGGCTTTCTTGCTGCTAGAATAACTATATAAAACTGGTATGGTTGACATTATCTTGAAAGGGTTGTCAACTTTCATTGTCTTTGTGGTTCAAACTCCTTTCTGCATAGGTATGAGGGGGAACCTCACTTCTAAGGAATTTTTTTTTAAGGCTTCAGCTTTAATTAAGTAACATCATTAAAGATAAAATCTTGTAAGATTAGACTCAATATTGAATTTTAAAGAGCAATTACTTTAAAAGTGTATGCTTATTAAATCATAAAACTAGGAATACAGCTAAGAACGCCCTTACTGTGTTTAAGGCAAGATATAATTGTAAGTGGTCTGCAAGTACAGCTGCTGGCTCAAAGCTGCGGGTTGCTTTAAGCTGAGAATTACAGCCTGAGTGAGGAATGTCACTTCATGCTTGTTCTGCTTTTCCTGAACATCAGTTACTGGGCTAAAACTGAAATAAATCATTGAGCTGTAAGGGACCTTCAGTCCTACCCAGTATGGCCTTTCGTGATAAGAAAAATTGGGAGGAATAGCCTTCATGATCCAAGTCAGAAAGTGATTTGTGGGGCCAGCGCTTTGCACAGACATATACCTTTCTCATGAAAAAAAGATTTGTCTGTGAATAAGAACATCTGATCTCTGTAGGGAAAAAAGTGCTTCTTATTGGTAGCCTATGGGAACATCACTTGAGAAGATGGTAATGCATTCTTATTACTATGGGGTGTTATCTCTATAAAGAAAAATGGGATATTACAACAATATTTTTGTGTCTTAGAAACTGTAAAAATCCACCATAAGATCAGGAAGTGTGATGGCAAAACGCTGCCTTGGTATTCTTCACTAGAAAGTCCTGGAAAGCAGAATTCTGCAACAGCTATGCAACTTCAGGCGAGTACTGAGCCTTTTGGAGGTGACTGTGTTGGGAACACGACTACTGAAGAATGTCTGCGTAGTGATGAGGATAAAACTGTTGATGTGATAATGCAGACAGATGGAGCACACAGCAGCTCTGACTTCTCTGATGAGGAGCAAAAGGGCCCGGGTGGAGATGTGATGGATATATTGAATTGGGCCAGGCCTCTCCCTGCTCTTCTTTCTCCAGTACAGCTTTCACCGCTAACTACACAGGTGAGTTTCAGGATGTGTCTTGACTTGGCACTAACTTGGTTGTATATTTACTGCAAAAGTAATGATTTGATATTTCTGAGCTTTTTAATTTCTGTGAGTAACAGTATTAGTTACCCATGCACTGAAAGGGTCTCTGTGTGAGTGTTTAGATCCATATGAATACTTTTTACCTTCTAGCATACTGTCTGTGGAGGGGGGGACAAAACATAATTTTCAGAAGTATATTTAAAACAGTCACCTGTGTCTCAACTGCTGTCATAATTTCTTTTCCCAATGTGGCAGATTTAGTAGTCCCAGCTCCTGTTGGGTATAAGCGTGCTTTCATAGCAAAATTTCACAGCTTGAAAGTCAAGGGGGTCCTACTCAAATGTTGTTTTCAGATAATATTAGAATGCAAGTAGTTAGATAAAGAAGTCTCTGACTTTTCACAGAGGTACTCCCATTTGCTATGGAGAAGAGTGATGGAGAAGGATGCAATTCTGTTGATCAGTCTTAATCTCTCAAAATCACTGCATGCCAGGGACACCAGGGTATGTGTTTAGAGAAACAGGTGTTAAAACTGATACCAGGCTTTGGAATATTAACTTTGTATTTTTCATTAAAGGATATATTGTTTGGAGAAGTCACAGGTTCCAGTGATGAAGAAGTTGATTGCAGTGCTTCTGCAGTGGAGGATATTTTACACGAAGACCAAGTTCAGCTTCAGAGTTGTAATGAATTCAGCCTTAACGAGGAGTGTAACAGACAGAGCAAATCACGTGAGCATGGTCCTGATGCAGAAATCTCATATAACCTGAGTTGGAATGAAAACAGTGTCCATATGGGTGCAAAGATGTCAAGCAAAGAGGACAGAGATGCTGAAACAAAGCAAGCTGAAGCTGCTGCTTTAATTACAAACACGGAAACTAACAAAGCCTGTTTGGAGGAGAATTCTGAGAATGTGGAAACTGAGAAGAGAGACCTAACTGAAGAGGCAGCACATGAATTGAAAGCCATCAAAGAAAAGAAAGGAGATAGCAAGGACATGCACAGTGAAGAGGGAGGTTCTTCGGCGGATTTTATGTTACACAGTTTCAAGCCTCAGAATCAGATGAAAAAATGCAGTGAGATAGAGCAAACAGAGGAGAATGTAGTCATGATCAGAGCTGTTGATGATGAGGGTACCCATGAAAAGCATGGGGAATTAAGGAAAACAGAAAGAGGTGGATTATCAGGAGAGAGAGAAACTTGCAGGGCAGTATCTGTTCCCCAAAACGTTACTCATTTGCCACCCGAGCAGTGCATTGTGCTTCAAAGTGAAGGTTCTGAGGAGAAATCTGATGTGTTGATACAGAATGAAGTGGTTGAAAATAAATCAAAAAATGTAATCCAGCTAACTGATATGGCACCTGGTGTAGGAGAAAACATAAAAGAAGTGAAAATTGGAGAGGAAATAACAGCTGCAACACAGATGAAAGGACTCAGTGCAGAGGCAAATAGTGAAGGAGATCTCTCTGAAAATGTAATGTCTAAATCCAGTAGTTCAAAATCCTGTGATGTGGAGTGTCCTAAAGACCTAATGATACATCGTGATGAGGAGGGAATAATAATGGAGACTGAGGCAGACACTGGAGCTGTTGAGGTCTCTTCACATTCTCAGTGCTCTGAAATAAAACATGACAGTGAAGACATACCAGACAAACACCGTGTGCAAACAAGAAAAGATGAAACGGGCAGAGAATGCGAACCAGTGACTGTTAAAGTATATAGAAATTGCTCACCTGTATCTGCTATTGAAGGAATCGGAAATTCATTGTCTAAGGATGACGTGGACAAAAATGTAGGTATGGACAGGACTGCTTTGTCAGCCCTTCCAAAAGATGATGAACAGCTCAAAATCGAAGATATGGATATAACCAGACCTGAGACTGTTGAACAAGCCATAAATTTTAACAGAGAAAGTGTTCTAGAAATAGCTGAATCGTCAGAGCTACTCCATAGTGCAGAAAATGGAAAATTAGTAGATATAAAGGAGGGGGGATATATAAAAGGCAAACCACACCAGGAAGAAAACGGTAGTAATTTATCGCAAAGGAAGTCAGACTTGGAAAGTGTGGTTATGCTTCCAAAGATGGCAAGCATTGTGGATGCAGAAAGCAGTGCCGCTAAGTGTGAATCCTCTCTGTTAGATTTTACAGAAATAAAAGGAGAAATAAAACAACCTGAAAACGTGTATAATACATCAGAAAGTGGGTTGTCCAAAACTCAAAACTTTGGAGTATGTAAATCTCAAGAGAATGAATTCAAATTTGATCCAGAAGATTTCAGAGAGGAAAGCAGTGAGCTAATAGAAAGAGTGGATACCACTGAATCTGTCGTTGTAGAAAGTAATCTTACTTCTCAGGCACAGTGTGCAAAAACTCTGCATCCATTCTTGATAACTGAAAATGTTAGATGTGATGAAATAAAAGGGGAGATAAATAAACAAAGCAAGGAGTTGGTGACTGAGACTTGTTCCAGTTCATTTAACTGGGAAGAGAATGCTGTAAAGAAAAATAATATTTCAGAGTTGATCTGCCAGCCTACTTCAGAAGTGGAAGTTAATAGTGTCTTGGCTTTTTCTACTCAAGGCAACTCAGAGACGGGGCATATTAATGCTGAGGAAACAGATTCTCCTGTGCAAGAGGGAATTGGCTTGGAATCCACAACACCTCCTGATCTGAATTTCAGTCTTCAGAATGTTGTCAGTTTTGTTGAAACTAATTTCAAAGAAAAGGCTGGTTTTTCCCATATATGGGAAAACAAAGGAGATAAAAATGATGTTGCAGGGAGTGCATTAAACTGTTCTCCAGAAAGCTTGGGAGAGGGTGCTGATACCCTGTCTGCTGAAAAAGACAACGTGTGCCAAGAACTAGACTGCCCTAAGAGGATATGTGTACCCAAAAATGAAGTGGAAATTCCAGATGAGAAGGAGCAGACAGTAGATAAAGAACCTCAGACGTCTCTTAAATCACAGATCCTGGATGCAAACTCTTACTATAAGAATGCTTCTCTTCAAAAGTTTGATTGTCAGGAATCAGGGTGCATGACTTCTGTGTGGGAGGTTAGAACAGATCCTTCTAGAACTGGTTCACTAACAGCAGGGGGAGAAAGCAAAGAATTGAATGGGTTTGAGGCATCTGGGGAAAATGCCATAAGAAGGTCTAAAAATGATTTTGATATGCCAGAGCAGAGCAATGAATCTGAAGAGACAGACTCTTCTATACAAACAGTTAAATGTGTGAAATGTCCTGAATGTGTTCCCCTGTTCAGACCGGAACTGGGAGCTTCCAGAATTGCAGTGGGTGCTCTGGAAACTAGTGCAGTCGTCGATGGTGACTACCGAGCATGTGAACTGCATTCAACGATGCGCTCAGGAAATGCTCTGACAGTTAGGGATCTGAAAGCAGACCCCGTGGTGGATGTGGATACACACGGTGAAACAAACACCTCTCCAGATTCTGCTGTTGAGTTGTCAGGTGGGGTTGGGGAGGGTTGTTGTAAAGACTTAACCTCTTGGAAAAGAGAGTGTGTGTTAGTAACCTCTGAAAATACTGAGAGTGCTAATGAATGCATGGTAGACTCTAACAGAGCAGGAAACATCAGTGACAGTGAGGAAAGGCTGTTAAAAACTGGGACATCAAAAGAAGGCCCTGTGATGCCAAATGCTTCAAAAGAGAGCTTACCGCTATGCCAGATGTTAACCAAATTGTCAGAAACTTGCAGACTGACTGTAAAAAACAGTAAATTAAATAAAAGAAAAACATTTGACAATTTCTTAGAAGAAACTGATTCTGAAATTCTGCAGTCAGACACGGAGCCAAGCCTACACGGCGCTGATACGGGGGTCTCAGTGTTTGAAGAACATAATCATAATCAAACTTGCACTTCTTGCACTATAGGAGAAAACAAAACTGATGTTATCCTAGATGGTAGCAGTAAGAAAAAAAAAAAAGTCCGGTATCTTCCAAATCCAGCCCCATCTGAGGTAGAGTGCAGTTGTCAGACAGCTGGGCAGCTTTCTGAGCCACAAACACCAGGATTTGAGAAGCCGTGTATGTTGGAGTCTGAGTCTCGTGTGGATGTGGCTCTCAAAAAGAGCAACGAATTGAAGCGCAAAGACACCAAGACAGCTGCCCAGGTAATACATGCCAGGCTATCAAAGAGGTTGTTTCAGGGTAAAAGAAAAACCAAGACTCTCAAAGCTCAGCTGTCTCAGCCAGTTCTTGCAAGTGCTGATACTTCTGTGCCAACAAAATGCTCACCTGAGACTATAAATAAAATTAGGCAAGAGATGGGTCCTCCTCTGCCTCCCTTGTTACCTCCCTTGATCGCTACTCCTCCGAAAGCTGCGTGTTCCACGTCCCCGTCCATGTCTCCTGCTGGCCGATCCTCCCTCCTTTCCCCGCTTGATGACCTGATCTCCCCACTGCGTGAAACTCCTGTTCCTCCTCTCATGTCTCCGTTAAAAGACACTCCGACAGTAAAATCTGCCCTCTTACTTTCTCCTCCCTCACCCTCAGAAATGGCAGCAGGGAGAAGGATTTGCTCCTCGCCTTTAAAATTTTGTACTTCCATTCCAAAGCATGCGCTTCCTGTGCCAGGAAGATTTCCTCTGTTGGCGGGGGATAGTGCTGCTCCAGGTGCTCCCCAGGAGAACTCTGTGAAAATATTGGACACTATGTATCCGGAGCTGTCTGCAAGGGCAAGGACACTGAACATTCTGAAAGGCAATATTCAGCTTAACCGATGTGCTTTTCCAGACAGCCAGGGTTTGCCAGGACCTATGGCTCAGATAGGTGGGTTCAAAGCAATTGCGTCCACATCAACTGCTTTTGTTAAAACTGGGAGCAATTTGAAGTCTGATAGTAGCAAACATCAAGACCAAGATGTGCAGAATCGGCAAAGGCTGTCAAGCTCATCAAATCATCTTGAAAACGAGACGCTATTGCCAGTATCTATGCCAAGAAGTGCGAAGAGGCTGAGGTTGGACAGTGAACCGCCAAAGCTGGAGCCCAGTGATATTGCTGCTGTCGAAAATACTAAAAATACAGTCTCTGAAATGCAGGAGGCTTTCTGTGACAAAAGCTGTGAAAACAGCGATGCAGCGCACAGTTCCAGTTCAGAACCAGTAACGGTTACTGATCCTAGCTGCCAGAAAGTTTCTTTGGCACTGAAGAAAATTGCTGAATCCTGTTTTGACTTGTTACCAGTTATTAAAGGTCACGTGTATGTCGGCAACATCTCAAAGATTCCAATAATGAGAGATGAAGAGAAAGAAGTTGTCTATGAATTTGGTATAAAAAACAAGGTAAGTGGCATAATTTCTAATTTTGTGTTTTAGTAACGACTTCTGTGCAGATGAAAAGAGTATAAGTGTGCAGTATTTGAATTCTCAATTGTTCAGGCCATCTGCAGTGCCCAAGTGTAGTTTTGAAAGGTTATCGCACATCTAAACTTGTATAAATTAAGAAAATACAGAACTTCACAAGAAATTACTGCTCAGTGGTGTCCAAGATGCAAAACTGCATTTGTAAATAGGTTTGCTTGCCTGCTGTACGCGTAAACCACTTTATTTTCATAGCATTTATTGTAGAGAATAGCATTAACAATTACAGGAGTTCCTCTAAAAGCGTGAGGTTCAATTACTGTTTCTTATTTTTTCAATTAAATAAGGTAAACTCCATGGAGTTTACCTTTATTATTCTACATCAGGTTGTTCAAATGAGTTTTATTGGAAAAATCTTTCATTAGTTTGTTTCTCAGAACTTGCTTAGCATCAGTGTTGAAAAAATTCACTTTAATTACCACCTTTCCCATAGATAATTTGTGGTCTGCAGCAGAGCAGTTCACCAGCTGATGCATGGCAGCATTTTGCCGTGTTTCAGTTCTTGAACGTCATTAAGTTCTCCACAGAAGAATTAACTTCCACCCAAGTTGCTGCCAAGTTCTTGGGTCATCTTTGTTAGGAGCTGTCAGACCTAGTAACTTCGCAGAAGCAAGGCTGACTACGTATCCCGAGTAGGCACACGTGCACACAGTATGCACCTGATCTTGTTCCCTCCTCCGGCTGATCGGCGTGAAGGCCTGGTAGTGGAAAATACAAACATACATACGTGTGTATATCCATACACACAGACAGTGTAGATCTCTTGAGTAGCTACTGTTGACACGCAGCGTATCCAGTAGGTGACTCCTGCTCTCCCCACTTGTCTCATGCACTGACAGAGTTACAGACACAGAAGCGCACACATATTCCTTCAGTACCTGGTCCAGACTTACCATGCCTTACCTGCATTCCTGGTCCTTCAGGCTTGGGCCTTCTGGTTCCTCACAAAGCCCACACTCTTACTCCCTGGTGTCTGCAAGTACCCAGTCTAAACCAGTGGCCTCTTCAGCACCTGGCTCTTAAGACTCTCATTCTACTCCCCGCTTACAGCTCTCCCTCTAAACATCCTATAGTAAGTCTTGCACAATCCCAATATCATAGAATCACAGAGTGGTTTGGGGTGGAAGGGACCTTAAAGCCCATCTAGTCCCACCCCCCCTGCCATGGGCAGGGACACCTTCCACTAGACCAGGTTGCTCCAAGCCTCATCCAGCCTGGCCTTGGACACTTCCAGGGATGGGGTATCCACAGCTTCTCTGGGCAACCTGTCCCAGTGCCTCACCACCCTCTCCGGGAAGAACTTCTTCCTGATATCCAATCTAAACCTCCCCACTTTCAATTTAAACCCGTTACCCCTTGTCCTGTCACTACAGGCCCTTGTAAAAAGTCCCCCCCAGCTTCCTTGTAGCCCCTTCAGGCACTGGAAGGTGCAATAAGGTCTCTTCGGAGCCTTCTCTTCTCCAGGCTGATATCCTCCTTCCTTGCATCTCCTCCTGAGTCCCATGCTACTGCAGACAGTGACACCCCCTCCCCACCTCCTGCGGTGTGTAAGGTGAGCTGGGGGAGAGAGACCACTGGTGACTGATCTAGTAAGTCTCACACCTGGACAGTGGACAGTCTGCCCTCCTGTGACAGCTCTGGGAGTTGCCAAGCCAGGGTGCTCCATTGGCTCTGGTTAGGTTATTGGGGTTCCTCTACCTATCATTATTCCTCTCCTCGCTTTTTGTTTAAGGAAGATAGTTTTTAGTCACACAAGTAAACAGTTTATGTTTGCAGAATAGTAGCACTACTCTGCGTTTAAGGCACGTTTGTTCTGGGAAGTTGCTTCTCACTCTTTCATCTTTCACTGGTTGCCTCCAATTTACTTTTCTTCATTTTTTAATGTATGCAAACAGTATTCTTGCAAATAAGGTAGTTCTTTTTACTTGTCTTACTACTCTAATGTTATCAAATATTCTCAAGTATATAATAATCTAACAATATTTTTTGTGCCTTGTAGCATTTAGCAGAGTCCTTGCTGCATGCTATTCTCGATAAACTCAGGGCTCAGAAGAATGCCACAGATTACAGTTTCAATCAGGCCCTGTGTCGGGTCTATACAGGAATCTGTCGACAGTTGGGAGATTTGGAAAGAGCCCGCCTTCTCTGCTACAGCTTACTTAAAGAAGGTATAGTATGGCTTAGTGTCTTTTATCCTAAATACGCTGTCTTTGCTCTAGTGTTCCAGAAAGATTGTGTTTATAAAAACAAACAAATATCTGATGAAAGGGGCATTTTCCTTAGAATTTTTTTCTGTAGTGCAGAAGTAGGGTTCTAGAAGATATTTCCCTTCTCACAGTTTCTCCACATCTGTGGCTTAGTCTGGTGATGACCTGGGCTTTTAGTAGTCTACTCAGTTTTCCAAATAATTATTTTTATTTAGAGTCCTCTATGCTTTCATTTTTGCCCCACCATCTCCAGAATGATAATGTGATTCCAGGGAAGTTTTAACTTTTTGCTTATTAGTATTTTCTTAACTGAGTAAGCACTGATTCATAAAGCAAATGTGATTTAAAAACATGTATTGACTTAAAATCGTGTCAGGAGTTGGACAATACCTTGATCAATACCAGTGCATTTGCACATGCCCTCCTGAAAATTGTATTACTTCCCATATCCCAAGTCTTGCTTGGTTGTTTTTTTCATTTTGATTCCCTTCTCCTCTCCCTCTTCCTTTCATTCCTGGTAACAAAGGTAGTACATACATACTGTCACAGTACTAAATTAAGAGTCTGTCTTAGCTTGGGAAGGACTTTATTTAGTTTCAAAATACTGAGCCATCCAGGGCTCAAAACAGTGTACTGGTACCTGTGTCTCAAATGAAAATAAAATAAATTTGAGACCACTGGGTAGCAAAATGCTACAACTTCCGATTGCTTCGAATTGGTTAGTGGTTATCTTCCATATGTATTGGTTAGTGGTCATATTCCATATAACATCCCTGTCTTCTTTCTATTTTCTTTTTTTCATCTTATTCAGAATTGTGATTTTATTTTGTTCTTAACTATCTATTTTTGTTGTTGTTGTTGTTGGGTTTGGTCATTTTTGTTTGGGGTTTTTCACTTAGGTTCTTTCTGGAATTCCTGTTTTACCTGTTTTTCTCTCCTTCATGCTCTTTCACTTTTTTCATGTTAATAGTTTTAATACTGTACCACGTCAAAAACTATTACTTGTCAGATATCTTTTCCTAGTCTAAATTAATGATTAAACCTGTTGTTTTGCAGTACCTTGGCACTTTGTCTTTTTGTGGGCTCATGCAAATATTAAACATTGGGGGTTTTTTTCCTTTCTTTTTCTGGGTAATATATAATTTTCAATAGCTGAATGCAGATTTTTGTTGAATGATTTTTCTGTTCTGCACTTTGAGTTGCATAAATTCCTGTTGTTCTGTTCTGTGGATGTTCTGTGGTTTTATTGTTATCTTTTGAGTGTGAACAGCTGTAAACTCACTGTAAGGATTATTTGTTTGGGTTTTTATTTTAGTTTGTTTATTTTTATTTGATTGCATTTATTGCTTTAGGATTCTTCTCTTTAATGTACTTCCACGTGTTATTCCCATCAGAATTATTGCAACACAAGTGTGAGCTCTGTGCTAGCTACACAATTACCAAATTGACTGTAAGGAGTCAGTACTACCTCATTAGACTTGCATCATCTGTTCTCTTGGCTTCTTGTCTATCCCTTTTTCTTCTGTTCTCCATTTGGGTATCCTGCCTCAAATGACTATAAATTAAATGTTACCTTTCTTTGCTTATTTTTCCTTTTTCCCCTCCTCTGTTCCCCTCCTTTTGTCTTTTTTTCTTCTTCTGATGCCCCTTTATCTCTTCCTCACCACTGAGTGAATCTTTTAGGTGTTCCAGATTCATGGACAGCCAGTTCAAGTTGCAGTATGTAGATAATTCTAGTTTAGCACCAGTCCTTGCTCTGACTAAAAAAAAATAATTATTATGTGACAAGGGGCTTCAGAGTGAATCTATTACAGTTTCCTGATCTGATGTATTTTCATATCCTCTCTCGTTCACGAGATCTTTCTAAAAACGTAGAAGGTATGCTGAAGTGAAGAGGGAAGACACATTTAGCTCTTCAGTTGTCACTGGGTTTTGTAGCAGTTTGCAGTGGCAATACTGTTCTGGGCATATGTATTGCAGCATTGCTTTTGATGCATGAAAGTAATGTCTACTTCTTGCTTCCCCCCGTGTACTTCTTACTGCTTGCAGTCTACGTACTCATGTCTTACCTTCATATTTTGCCTTGAAGATCTCTGCTTTGGTGTTCAGAAGGGTCTGTTAGCTTCCCTTTGATGGCCTGGAACTCTGTCCTCTCCTACTTGTGTAGTTCTGGAGATACCATTGTCAGATAGTTGCTCTGAAGTAATTTAATGAATGAGGCTTCTTCAATTGCACCAGTAGCACCCTTTTTTGTGTTTACGGAAATACAAATTTTGACATACCCTCACTTACAAATTGTATAATGTATAAGCTCCTGACAGAGTCTGGGGAAATTGCTGAGCAAAATCAGACTTCATATTTGAATAGTCTGAAAGTTCTCTGCAAAGGTTTTTTCCTTTCATGTGGATTTCATGGGTGGATGGGTGCAAGGTGTGAGCAAGTTCTGTGGATTTGTACTGAAGACCTGATTCTCACATTATTACACACCTCAGGATTGTTTTTTTCTTTTGAACTAGCTCTAGTGTGACCTAGTGATCATCAGAGTGCTCATTTGTGGCTGGAGTCTATTAGGTAGGCTCCTGGAGTGCATATCCCCGTTTAATTTCCTCCAAAAAGAACCCAGTTTCAGTGCTCCAAGACCACTCAGTGAACTGAAGTGAAGTAAGAAGGATGAGGGGAGACTAACGGCAGAATGCAAATGGAAAGGTCCTTTTGCACTTTCAGTACACAGTGAAGCCTTTTTTTTTTCCCTTGGGAAAAAAAAAGTGAAATTACAATGGGGTAGGTGGCTTGGGGGAGGAGTAGGTTTTTTTTTTTCTCTGGGGTCTTTTTTTCTTATTTAATCTCGGGACTGGGATGTGCTGGTATGACTCCTCTTCCCTGGGCTGCAGTTGCTACAAGACTTCTACGCCTTCTTTCCTAGTTGTCTGGCTGAAAAGTGTACTTGGCTTTAATGCTTGAGTATAGATTTTTTCCTTTTAAATGTTAAAAACTTATTTTGTTCTCTCTTTTTTTTTTTTCCCTTAGACTTTCCAGACTCAGAAAAATTGATCTTATTTATCACAAATGTATGGTCTGACATATTTGTCTTCCAAGGTGCAATTAACAAAGCTATGCAATTAGTTGTCAGGCAGACTGCCAGCAGTGAGATGATGGACTGTTTGAGTGCTTATCTCAAGTGGGAACAGGTAACGTCTGCTTTCATTGTCAGTGTCAGCTTTTGTCTGCGTTGGTCACTTTTCTGGCTGAATCAAATCGAGCCGCTTGCTTCTGAAAAGGGTGTGAAGATACTCTGTGAAGCTCACAGGCCTACTTCCTGTGGTTGTTAGACCCTACTAGAATACAACATTTTTCTTGCTTTCCCTTTTAAGTACTAAACCCTCTATTAAACATTAAAAGTAATTGTTTTTAAACTTTGACTGGGTTGTTCTTGGGCCAGGGAATTCTGTCACTCTATGGAACTGTGACTTTGATGCTCTTTGAGGTGGTTTGTTTTATTTTGTTGTTTGGATTATTTTTTAATATGTATTGGGCCTGTCTTTCATAGTTCTCTATGTTACAGGTAATTTTTTATCACAGTTAATTTCAAGATGAGTCTGTCTCTTTTTATTCATGATCTTTCTGTGAGGTAAACTGTAAATACCTATTTATGACCAAAAAAAAATACCAGCCAGTTAATTTTGTAAGCAGTTGGCATGATCAGCAAAAAACTGCAGTGATGACAGAAGGAGGATGACCAGCGTTGAGGACCTAAGGACTTTTGAGATTTGATTTCAAGTCTTTGAGCCCTTGGGTGAGTCTTAATTCCTGTCAGTTTTACAGCAGGCACAAGTTACCATCCTGAAAGGGACGTTGCAAAGAGGAAAAATTGGAACACACTTGATATCACAGATTCATAGAACGGTTTGGGTTGGAAGGCACCTTAAAGACCACCTAGTTCCAACCCCCCTGCCATGGGCAGGGACACCTTCCACTAGACCAGGTTGCTCCAAGCCTCATCCAGCCTGGCCTTGGACACTTCCAGGGATGGGGCATCCACAGCTTCTCTGGGCAACCTGTCCCAGTGCCTCCCCACCCTCTCCGGGAAGAACTTCTTCCTGATATCCAATCTAAACCTCCCCACTTTCAGTTTAAACCCGTTACCCCTTGTCCTGTCACTACAGGCCCTTGTAAAAAGTCCCCCCCCCCAGCTTCCTTGTAGCCCCTTCAGGCACTGGAAGGTGCTATAAGGTCTCCCCGGAGCCTTCTCTTCTCCAGGCTGAACAAGCCCAACTCTCTCAGCCTGTCCCCATAGCAGAGGGACTCCAGCCCTCTGATCAGTAGGAGCAAATTTATATCATGCAGATGGAAAGCTGGAGGTACTTCCTTTCTGGAGAAGGAGTCTGCAGGCGTGTGTGTTTGCTTGAAGGCAAGGGCCACGGTAGTTTTGAAACCCCCATATTCATGCCAGGCTTCCCGGCTGGAAATGCTGTAGTTCTGTAAATACCAAGTGAATGAAATCGTCTTGATATGTAGCCCAGCTATTCTGTACCCCAACCTGCTGCTCCACAGCTGCCCTGGCAACTGCAGCTAGGCTCAGCATAGCCTTTAAGTGTTGTAGTCACTGCAAAAAACATGATGATTTTCTTTCGTTTAGACCTGAAACCAGCCCTGAACTTAATATGGTACCAATGGAATTACGGCCCTGGTAAACCTCCTGATTTAGTGCAGGTTTATAGTGGAGTGAGTTAAGAGGGCATGGACTTGTACGTGTGTCTTTTTTTGATTAAATGACCGTTGTGATGTAGCATTAAGCTCTGGTGTTCGGAGTTATGTTGTTCTACAATCCCTGTTTAGGAAAGAGTTTGTATTCCCCATTCTGTTAGGTTACAACTTTCAGTCTCATGGCAGTAGGGATGCACCTAAGTGTGTCTCAGTAAACGTTGCTGGAAATATTCTGTGCACTAGTTCCTTTATGAATCTCTTTAGAATATGAGAACTGCTGCAGCTGGGGAGAAGGACCTCAGGAATTTCTGTTTTGGTGATAGCAGATCACGTCATCATATCCGGAAGATGTGTTTTACTTAGGTGGAAATACAAGGGCACATTTCAAGTGGATTGTGGCCAATGGTCTGTTACACACATAATTTTATGAGAAGATTATTCTCCTTATGAAAGTGCAGCTCATGTAGAATGGGTCTTTAGTTCTTGGTTCAGGTATACCATTTTGGTGACTTGCACCGTTGTTGAGCTGGCCAGTTATATGAGACTTTGTACCAAGAAGATAGGCTGAGCACCCAGTGTGATATGCCTAGACTTTTTTCTTAATACTTCAGCTATTCAAAGGATGTTTTTAAATGTTCTTGCTTGCCCTGGTTATTTAATTAGCAGAATTGATTCATGTGACATGTTTTCAGTTATTACTTGCCTCAGCTATTGAAAGTGCTTGCTTGGAAATTAGCCCTTAACAAACAGTAACAAATTTTGGCATCAGAAAATAATTTAAAAACAAAACAAAACAAAACAAAACCCCAAACCCAAAACCAAAACCCTTAGAAAGTGAACAGGATTAATCTAATCTTCTTTGATTGGAAAACACTCTTCTGACCTTCAAGCTTCATTGAGAGAAACAAAAATCCCCAAATTGTAGGAGGAAAGAAGGGAGTGGGAATAGGTGTTTTCTTTTGTGTTGTTGGGGGTTTTTTCCCCAAACTCTCTTTTTAGTAAAAACATCAAGAAAAATACTGAGTACTTGTGGATTTTATTTTATATACTCTTTCTTGTGTGACATCAAAGCCAAAGTTGAATTTATGGTGTAAGGTGCTATGAACAGTTGGAATCAAATATATGTAAATAGTTTGGTTCTGCGTTTGGTAACTTTTCATGTATTAAGATAATCACCTTCTAAAATTCCAGAGTTCCTCTTTAGATGCCGGTATTACGGTCTCAAACCTGCTTTTAGAAATGCAGTCATGTCCCAAAGTAGAATTTCAACAGAGTGAGCAATACGGAGAAGATCTGAGTGAAGATGCCTGGCAGTACATATTTGCTGTTGATCTACTCTGCTGTCACCTGAAGTGGGATTGGACACATGACAATGTTATAAGGTATTGTGGCTAACAGTTCTGTCAGATGTTGTCCTGAGTGGGTTTTTTGTGGTTTGGTTTGGTGGGTTTTTTCCCCAAATTTGAGACATTATTGCTTAGTTTTTAACATAATAATACATTGCATAAATACTTAGAAATGAGGGCATTTTAGCCTCATGAGACCTAAGCTACTGTGTCTGTGCCTTATTTTGAGATAGAATGAGTGATCAATGAGGAAATAGAAGATTTCATGACACTGGGCCAAGAAATCAACACTGTTTGAACGATTCTAATAAAGAATTGATTTTAAAATAGCAATATGTGGACAATTCTGAAAGATTATGAGATGGATTGTTTGTCAACAAAGCAAAATGATTGAGTGCCTTGCTCTGACTGTTGAATTCCCCTCCCCTCCATCACTAGAAAACAAGGGTGGAACTTTTGAGGTGTAAATAGCACTCCTTTAGTGCTGAAAGTGAAATACAACCATACTCATTAGTGTACTATCCCGATCCTGTCCGATTTTAATTCTAAAATCATTATAATACTTTGATTCAATGTCCTAAATTTTCTTTGAACCCTATAATCCAATGCATGGACTGCTGCCATACTTGGTTTAAAAGACTTCATTTTGATACCTACACTGATCTTTAATACCTGCACCGATCTGACAGCCCCTGTTTTCTATGTAGAGGTTACACAACCTAGTAGAATCTACAAAAATATGGCATTTGTTTAACTGTGGCTTAACATAATCATTGACTATAAAGCAAATAATTTACCATCAACAAAACTTTTATACAAGTTCCATGTTTTCAGATAGTAAAGAAGTTACTTTCAGTGAAATGCTTTAAAAAACTAATACAAATTAGCTTCAGTGAAAGGTATGTCAGTTTAACTAAAGCCATACAGAGTAGAGAGGTAGATAAGGTAGAGAAATTGGGAGTAAAACAGGACCTGGGAAGAAGGGAGGAGTGGGCAGAAGCTGTTTTAAGATCTGGTTTTCTCTCTCATTGTCCTACTCTGATTTTGAGTGGTGATAAACTATATTGATGTTTCCCCCCACGTCAAGTCTGGTTTTCCCATGACCATAACGGGTGAGTGATCCCTCCGTGTCCTTGTCTCGACCCGCGAGTGCTGTTTTCCCCGCCTCATGTCACCGGGGGAGGAATAAGTGAGCAGCTGCCTGGTTCTCAGCTGCCGTCTGGGCCTAAACCGTGACACATACACATCTATGAAGTCAGTGGAGTAAGTTCTTGGCTTTAGGTAGAGATGCAGAATCAAAGAATGGTTTGGAAGGGACCTTAAAGATCATCTAGTTCCACCCCCCCTGCCATGGGCAGGGACATCTTCCACTAGACCAGGTTGCTCCAAGCCTCATCCAGCCTGGCCTTGAACACTTCCAGGGATGGGGCATCCACAGCTTCTCTGGGCAGCCTGTGCCAGTGCCTCCCCACCCTCTCTGGGAAGAACTTCTTCCTGATATCCAATCTAAACCTCCCCACTTTCAATTTAAACCCGTTACCCCTTGTCCTGTCACTCCAGGCCCTTGTAAAAAGTCCCCCCCAGCTTCCTTGTAGCCCCTTCAGGCACTGGAAGGTGCTATAAGGTCTCCCCGGAGCCTTCTCTTCTCCAGGCTGAACAAGCCCAACTCTCTCAGCCTGTCCCCAGAGCAGAGGGGCTCCCGCCCTCCGAGCATCCTCGT